TGATCATTTATTTGACCTAATTTGTCATATCCATATGTATTAAAGATAATCTTAAAGAGAGACATTTAATTGGATCTCCCTACCTCTACCAAATTTGTTATTCTTGTGTAATTGTATTTCAATGGCAAAACTATTTATATGTAATCTAGGTGCATGTAATTTGGTAAGTGGGTTTCAACCATACCCCAATCAGGGGACTACCTAAAGCGTGCTTGATGTGGTGTCATTTAAAGACAAGGGCCTTGATGAAACAAATGAGTTCAGGGCGAAGCCTTTGTTGGTTTTCAGGATTTCTAACAGCTTAATTTAAATGTACAAAAAAAAATAGATTTACATCAATTATCTGAATTTCAATGTTGAAACACATGTACAGATTTCGTAATGAAATTTTAGGGAAAAAACAAAACAAATAACATTCTCGTTTTATAACGCAGCACTATTAAGGCATCCTATGAAAAAAATCAACAGACTATAGACGTGCTTAAAAAGACCCCCTTTTAAGACCGAATTTATTTTTTGATTAACGCATGACTTTTATATAAATTGAAATAACATAGTATACCTACCTCTGTTTGGTCACATTTTTTGACAGTCACCTGATAAATGCATATAATGTGTACTGCATAGAGGTCATGAACAAATTTTAATATTGTAAGTGATACATTGTTTCTACATAATTTGTAGTTTCTTGAAAACGCTGTGGCTTCAAATAGAATTCGCATTTTATTAGTTTATTTCTGAAGGAATTGGGATTAAGTTCAAATATGTGTGGCCTTTACCAAGTATATCATATATTTATTACGTAATTCTCTCGATATCAGGAAATCTGTGAGCAGCACTTTTCAAGTTAATATACAAGAAATATTTCATTTATTTATATTTTAAAAAATGATCTGTCAAATAAGGCGACTAAACTAGATTCAATACAGAGTGGGACACACTGTGTTATTTCAATTGATATTAAAGTCCTGTGATTATATAATAGCATAAAATAAATTCCGTTTAAAAATGTATCTATGTATGCACGTCTATAATAATATGTTGATTTATTCATAGTACGCCTTGAAAGTACTGTGTGTGAGGAGGGGGGTGGGTGGAAGCATTGCGTAGTTACTTGTACCTTGCGACGCCCATTAAACCTCTTGTCATGCCTCAAATGTCCTCTATAAATTAAAATAATGCCAATTGCAATAACCAAAATCATTGTTTGTTTTTTTTTTCGAAAGATAATTACATTAACCTTTATTTACAGAGAAACCTAGCTGTAATGAAGTATACTTGCTATATGCATTTTCTTCTGTTGCAAAATACTACATGTATGTTGTTTGCATAACTTATGTCTTTCGCATGGGATATCATCTCGTCCACACAAGTCATTTTCTCGACCACACGAGATATATTTTCGTACATATTTTTAACTATTAATAGTGTATTTACATTTTAAGACATTGTAACTGATCTTAGTGTAAGGATTTGAAGTTGATCCAGTGTGTATAAATGATTTGAAAATCTCTAGCATATGCTTGTATTTTTATAGTATGTATTGGAAGATACTCCTAAATAATTTCTGTGAAAACACAAAACTTCAATGAAATAGGACAATAGCACTTAATCTTAAAAGCAGATTATTTAGCAGACATGTGTTGAAAACGTGTCATTTTTTAATTCTGATAAGGATATTAGTATAAGGAGCAAATTAAAAAATAATGTAAGTTCTGATACTTGAATTATCCTTTTATTTCTATTAAATAAACAAGCCATTGATCAAATACATGTATATTTGCAGTTACATTCAAAAGAATATTCATTTTGCTATAAACAAAACAGATATAACACAAATTTGTTATTAAGAAGTTAATATTTCCTCGAAAGAGAAAGATTTAAAAAAAAAATATAGTTCTTATAAATATGCTGCGGATATTTACTTTGTGTGTGTGTGTGCTAAATAATTCACAATCTTTGCATTTAGCTTTATAAATTTTTTTTTTCATCTTCAGTTTTAATTCTTTTTATATCATAATTGGCATCGAAATAATTGTCTTTTTGCCTACAATCAAATTTTTATTTTGTTATATACTTGCGTTGAATTCTAAGTTTTGTAAAAATAATTGATCTTCAAAATCTGTCACTGTACGTTGTGTATAGTTTCCTGTTAGCTGACCTGGGACTGGTGAGAACACCTAATTTAGGTCTATTATCTAAGCAGTTGATATACTGTACACTGTTTATTTTACCCTGCTTCCAAATGTGTATAAATCTGGTCAGATGCCATCTTTAATCTGATCGGCTGTTCTTATGAAAATTGATTTTGAAATAACAATCATTGAAGACCGACTATTTTTTTACTTCTTACTTCTGCATTATTTTGAAAGAAAGAAAAATAATTGCACTTAACCTCGAATTAATTAAATCAAATTATTCATGATGGAATTCAATGATTGACAATATAATCTTTTCTTATATATATTTTTTAAATCTTAAACATTTCTCTCTCCAAAGAAAAATTAAGAGACTAGGAGATATATCTTTTTCCAGAAGAAAATGACTTTGTATTACAATATTTCCTATGAATTCAGCAGCTCTCCACACACGAAAGAAAAAATACAACGTGATTTTCTAAAGATTAATAAATATTATGTGTTTATGGATAAAAAAAAAAAATAATAACAACTATTTAAACAACTAAAATGATTTTTGGTGGCGAAAATTTTAAGGCATTTGTTGACGCTGTTCTTAGTGCTCGAGTTTATACGCATTGACAAATAGCGAGATAAAATTATGAATTGAATAAGATTTTGCTTAAATGATATTGAAACAACTTTGAACTTAACAAGTTAGTTTGAAGACTTGATAAAAGATGCGTAAAGGTGGTTTTATTAAGTTTGGACGTTTAGCTGCAGCTTAAAGGTGGCTTAATGGTGGCTTAATGGTAGCTTAATGAAGTTTGGACATTAAGCACTTACAATGTAGAAGCTGCAGCTTAATGGTGGCTTGAAGGAATTAACTTCTATAAGCCACCACTTAGTCACCTTTAAGCCACCATTAAACGATTGCTTAAAGATGGTTTTTCGTCCTGTGAATAATGCCATGTTTTGGGAATATCGATGATAGTATCTTTCAAAAGGACCAACACTGTACTCTAGTTTTAAGACCCCCTCCATCTAAGTAGTACTTTTTATGTGTTGGTAAATACATATTTTCTTATATTGTTTAATTTCATCCAAAATTTCAAACTGGTCTTGTTTGTTTGTATATTGTTTAACGTCCCTCTCGAGAATTTTTTCACTCATATGGAGACGCCACCACTTGCCGGTGGAGAGCTGCAAATTTTGTCTTTACTCGGCACTTATGGCCATTGATCAGTGAGGGATCTTTTTCGTGCCAGCACCTACTGCGACACGGGACCTCGGTTTATACGGTCTCATCCGAAGGACCGGTCTCCACGTCCCACAGTGGGATTCGAACCCGCGACGTAAGGATCAACTCCTTACTCCGCGACTCTAGAGCAGACGCTCTAACCACTGCGCCAAGCGGGCGACTAAACTGGTCTTGAATAATCTCCCCATTCTTTTTAAAAGTTTAGGAATTATTTTACTAGTAAAATTTCTTCATTCTAAACAACAAAAATAATGAGATGTTTTTCCCCTTCTTCCACCCACTTTACTCTACTTCTTATAAACATTTCTTAAAGTTTGTATATTGTAAGTTTTAATTTTTGTTTTTTACCATTTAGTTCTTCTACATTGTTACGATAATTTCCTCTAATGCCTTTTCTTCTAATAATTCTTTTTCTTCATTGTCTTGTTTCTTTTTATATATGCTGAGTATGAAATGCTTATAAAAAGATTATCAAGATCATACACAGGAAGTGCGTATTGCTTTTTTACATTCAAAATAACATCTCTAATACAACCTTAGAATTACTTATCACTAAATAAGAAATTGATAAATTTCTATTAGCCCTTTCCCTTTTTGAAATCATTGAACGTTAAAATCATTGATATCATAGAAAGATAAGACCTGTAACTTAGTTCAATTGTACATGCATTAAGACAAGGTAGCAATAACTCAGACATCATAAAAACGTCTAACCTACTTTGTTTAAAAGGATTTTTTCCTCCTTGTGTACATTCGAAGTGTTTTTTGGAGTTGTTTAATTGAATGTACATAACCATCTCCTTCCATGATTTTTAGTACTTTTTCTCCAGCCTTTGCATTATTAATTGGTTTGAAATTATAGCAGTCTAGCTGTGAATTTAACACTTAATTAAATTCTTCACACCATTTGATGTTGTTACAGTTCATTTCTTCAATGGACTGTTGCATATTTTCATAGAAGTTTGGTGTATCAGTACTTGGTCCAAATACTGCGCATAAAATAATCTCATGACCCTTTGTGCATATTTTCAGAATGTAATATTTTCATCTTTATCACCCTTTTCAGACATATGCGTTTTCTATTCTTTTATATGGCTACAGAAAGTATTTTTATATCTATTTTCAGAGATTGGCTTTACAACAATATCAAAGATCTAGACGGTAAGTTATTTCATTCAGGGCACATTTGTATTTAAGATTATATTACATATAAAACTGATCACCCTATCGTACAAAACCTTTCGAATCCAGACATCAAATATATACTTTTAGACTTTGCTATATGTGATTCCTCTACAATACCCCTAGCTGAGACTAATTATATCCATAGAATCAATACTGCTATCTTAAGCATAGAAACATCACAGAAAATAGGACCACCAAACTGCTTAAATTCAAAGAGTCCTGTCTGTGCAAAAGACTTCTTAATGATTATATATAAAATTCTTCTGATGTACGAAAATAAAGTCACAAAATGGCATGAACTCATACTTTGTTCCATTTTATTTCATGGGAGTTGTGAAAATCGTAATTTAACCACTTTTTAAGTTCTCACCAGAATCCTAGCATTACTCGACCAGGTGTACCAAACCATGAAAAAGCATCCATTTTTGAATTTCTAGCACCTGGTCGAAGCCCAGGTGGTGTCTTACAATCCACTGTTATCTGTAATGGTTCTTCCTGGACTTACATAGGATTGAGAGAAATTCGGAGACTTATTCCAGCTTTTAGAAGCAAAAACACTGTGAATGTTGATTTCACAAATTCAGAACTCGGCAGCAGTTCTTATTCTATGGTGGATGAGATGAAAGGAGACATGTTTCCAATTCGTTATATCTTTTTGGATTTGCACATGGTAATTTTAGTTTTATGTGAGCGGTGCAAAAATCTGGTGTAGAGGCAGACACTTACATTTCTAAAATTATCTGGGTATGTCTTTTCGATAAACATTTTTACTCGTATGCAGAGACTGAATTAAGATGTGAACATAGGGATCGACCGTACAATATACTAAAAATTGCATACTTCTTTACATCGGGTAGCCTTTTAACTAGAAGACAAAGTTCTCCCATTGATGAAGCAATGTTATTTGCGATGTTTAGCAGAGATATTCCCGGAACTTCGGTGAATGCCACTAAGGAATCCGTTCTTTGTGTATTTCAAATGAATAAGATAAATAAGATCTTTACCAGAAATATCAGGGTTTTTTTCGTGGTAACCGTAACACAGGTCCAGATTATATAGCTTCTACAAGAAAATGCCAGAAAACGGTAAATAGATTTAATCCTGTAAAAGGGTTATTTTAAAGTTACCTAGAATTTCTAGAAAAAAAGACCAAAGTATGAAATTTATTTTACCTAAGTGTACTGTGCACATCTCGCTGACTTCTATTCATTTTTGGTAGATTTTAGACATTGAGTTTCGATTACTGCGGAAGGTATGATTTTAACACACCAATCAACGGTCCAGAGCCTGTAAAATCCATCGCAGCCATACGTATCAACGGTACGCATTGTCAATCTTCATTACCACAACAAATACCGTGTGTATTGTGGCCTTTATTGGGACTATGTCATGCCATGTTAAAAAGGTAATCATCTGTTTTAGACGACATTCATTATGCATTGAGCAGGTCATACGTTCGACACTGAGAGAGCAGATCTTGTAATTTACTTTGTAAATAAATGTTTTAGAATTTATGAGATTTATGATACTGTATATTTATCTGTCAATTTAAAAATGGAATTACATGTCACATAGATTTACATAGAAACCGCGACCACTTCCAGGAAATACGATGATGTGACGGTTGAGTCTGGAATGAAGATACTAAAATACACATTCGTTGGCAACGACAAGAACCATGTTTACATCCTTACTCCAAATAAGGTATTCGATTTCTTGTGTTTTTCCTTTACTTTACTTTTGTTAATTTTTAAATGATCTCAAAATTGATACTAGTGCCCTTTTGGTTCTGTATTCTACCTTTTTTTCATACCGTCTTATGTCAATTCATTAAAATCTGAATTGCAGATTTACAAAATGGTTCGTTCAAAATCGTTATCAGTATATAACTTTTACTAAGTGCCGAAAAAGTGGTGATCCCTTTTGTGGTTGGTGTTCTTTATCAAACAAGCAAGGTGTCATTTTTTTTTTAATCGTTAACTTAATGATTATCAACATCTTTTGTATATCAATATTTGTACAAATAGGGCAATTTCTCATTCTTAAATGTAGATGTACGGTTGCAGAAGATTGTCCTGAATATTTTCCTTCTCTTGGATGTCCGTAATTCGGTGAAAGACATGTTCAAAAAGTAGGAACGTGTTCCCAGGAAATATCCTTGAGGAAAATTTGCTGTGGAATTCTACAAACCACGTACTTGCAATGTCATCAATATTGCTCTCTCTCTCTCTCTCTCTCTCTCTATATATATATATATATATATATCTGTGTGTATGGTTGAGTGTGTGTATGCAAATATGCACATTGCAGGTGCATGTCAACTTTGAAATTCTCCCTACATCCTCGGGTCCTTACACTTGTTTATATAGCAGATATGGTTATGAGATTATTAGATATGGCAGCAGACAAAATCTTGATGAAGTACTCTGTGAATTGCCAAATTACAAAGACCTTCCGCCATTTCCAACTTCGAAGGGTATAACTATTCTTACCTTATTAGACACCCTAATGTAAAAAACACAGAATAATTAGAATATTGCTCAATGTTTCAATGAAGTAACAGATTACTACACATCTTAATTCAGTGTTTTTAGTCTACAAATCTTGCAGACTGTGTAAATATGGTATTATTTGTGCTGACTGGGGGAAAAGCAATGGTTTCAGACATCATAGAATTTTATATATGGGTGAGTTGGATTTGTCAAGATGGCAGAAAAGAATTTCAATACTGCAATCAACATGAAATACAATCATATGTTATACTTTCATTTTCTGAACATTTCAGTACTTGTCGGAAGGACACTTGCCCAAGTAAGTATTGACCTTTACTATATTGTGTGGAAAAAAATTAATGGTTTTAGAAATCAACAAAAACATTAATATCAAAACCCTGAAATTCCAATGCAAAAATATCTATGCCAATCTTATCATTAGTTTTTTCTGCCAGGTGATGGATATTGGGGTTCTTTCGGTCCTTTTGGAGAGTGGAGCAGTTGCAGTGAAAACTTTGGAGAAGGACACAAAAATCGAACACGATTTCGAACATGTACAAATCCTCCACCATCAAACGGAGGCCTTCCATGTAAAGGATCCCAACTTGATACTGAGTTCCAACACTGTTACGAAAAGGAATGCACATGTAGGTGAATATTCTTACTTTTCGTATCAATTTAACGCACATAGAGCAAATGTATGCAGAGTATTTAAAATATCTTTTTATTTGTAATGATCTAGTGCGTGGTACTTGGGCGTCATTTGGTGAATTCCAGGAATGGGGTGAATGCAGCGCAGTATGTGGTTTAGGGACGCAAATCCACAAAAAGATACAGCAATGTGTGACATCTTCCATTGAGAAGGAATTTAGGCTTTTTATTTGATCAGCAATTCATCAAGAGATTCGGTCATGCAGTATACGTAAATGTCCGGCAGGTACAAAAACGAATTCTTTTGAAAAATTAAATTAGCAATCTAATTAAAATAATATTTTTATTGCTTTCTTTTCTGATGTGACGTATGAAACTGCATAAATAAAGGAAGCAATAATTTTAATTAGATAGACAAATGAATACTTTGAGGGTATCTTTCTATGAAAAAAATTATTCAAATTTCCCTTTAAAAAGAAAAATTGTACTGCTTACATACAAAACTAAAGCTTCTCTCTCTTATTAAAATTTTGCTTTATCTGCATTAAAGAAAATAGAAATTCCTTCTCTAGAAATAATTACCATACACATAATCTTTTAAAAAATATTTAAGATGTTATGTTAAGAAATCTTGCCAAACACGAAAACAAACCTTTCCTCTAACTATAATGCTGGAGGTACAGTTGTATCTTTTCTTAATAATGTATTTTTTTAAGTCGACCATAAGTAATAAAATTGTATAAATAACTTACCTTACTTCTTAGGTTTCTTGATATTTTAGTCCTTATTTTTTAACAGGGGAAAGAATAACCTTGGTAAGCGTCTCATCATCATCCGGTTTTTTCTCATTCTGTTGACTTCCCTTTTTGTTTTTTATCATCGTAAACATGGATCAAGATCTATTCCCAAAGTACAGAGACACTCCTCAGAGTATGATGAACCAGATGAACAGCAATACGTATCTATTTTGCTGAGGGCTACTAATAACATAATGTGTGAATATGACAACATTCTCCAGACTAATGAAAATGATTACACGATTCCTAATGGATCTGAGCAACATCAAAATGAAAACGGCATCGGAAGGAACGAAATAGAACAAGACAACCAGTGTTCTAATTCACAGTGGGTTTTTGAAGAAAATTCACAGGAATTAGAATACGAAAGAAAACAAAATGATAACAATTAGGTAGTGGCATGCAAGTTAAAAATTGTCATACAGCGATACTTATCTATGAGTATGGCATATTGTGTTCACATTTACACTGAGGGAAGTTTACATTTTATAGAAGTAACCGGTAAACAAACATATTTCCTTGATATCAGAACTAGAGATCTGGACAATTTTATGACCATCCTTACTGAATAGTTGGTGCAAAAGTATCTAAATATATAGTTAAAGACGATCATATAGGAAGTCTACTGATTTATATTTCCTTGATATAAGATTTATTTTCTGATCATTAGGCGAAGTCGAAAAATGAAGGGAATAAGAATTTATGGTTTTGTTTTATTTACAGAGAAGATTACTGATCACGTCTCTCTTGGAGGTATTTTTTATTAATCCTCTAATGCTGAATCCGGAGTTTACATCTGAAAACTCCGCTAGTAATCTCTAAGGGGGATTTACTAAGCTTTTTTGTACAGTGGTGAAAATGTAATGTTGTAATTGATTATCTTTGCTGATTTCTCTATCTTCATAAACATATGTTTCACAAAGGTAATTAATTGCTTCTATATAGTTGAATGTTTATGTCTAAGAAATATGTTGTTGAGAACAAATATTCTTTTCTTTTCTATTCTTTTGCAAAGAACAATGATATTTGTAAGTGTCTTTACATTTTTGTAAAGTGAAAATTTAAAGAAATAAATTCTACATATTTCAACTGATATAAAACCAATCAATTTCTGAACGTCAGAGGAGATGGGGTTGATGATTAAAGAATCCATTTCTGATTGTTAGTATGCTTCCTGTTTCAAAAATTTGTGAATACAACATTTTACATTCTTACTTTGAAATATTCGAAATGTTTTCTGCAATTAAATTATTTTCTGACAATCATTGATTAATCATCTGTAATATTTCTGTAATTATGTCGCGCCAGATATATGATACATAACATCTTTGACAATATAAAAACTCTCAGATATTGTCTTCACTGGCTTTAAACCATCAAGTTGTAAGGGTTGGAATCATGCACCAAACTCAAAGGACATAACATATGTTTTAAATGTAGTTTCCTTTTTTTTACGCAAGTACTTAATATCGTCAAATGACACAAAGAAATCAAATAGCAAAAACATGAATTCTCAAAAGGACTGTTGATCAAAAGTTTTTATGTGTATGTCAGGAATATCAAAATAAAAGCCAGTAATTTAATTCAGGAGTGGTGCTTCTAACCGAAATTGAGCGAGAATAATTTCCTCACTTTTTTTGGGGGGGGGGGGGATGGGGGGTCCACTGTATTTTGTCCATACCTATATGCTATAAGGAATGTTTTTAATCATGGTTTTGATATGTGCATGTAACCTACATTTTTGTTTGATCATTGAAACGTTTTTGAACAATACGTTCTTCAATGTAAATTTTTGATAGCTTTAACATTTAAACAAATTTTACAATTTTGCTTATGAAAATAATTGAACATAAAATTTACTAAATGATAATGCGACCTTTTTTTGTGGTTGATAATTTTTGAAGAGTTTTAATGGAGAAAAGATTCAGTTCGACTTAAGGGGCAAAGGTTAGATGGTTAGTTTATGTATACATGTACAAATAATATGAGTACTCCTTCATTTACATGGGATCGGTTGCGGTAGTGTAATGGTACGGCATTCGTTTTGTGATCGGGAGGTCTTGGGTTCGATTCTTGATTCTGGCGCTTCGTCAACGCTAAGATATTTAACATAGTAGTGAATGTTCCTTCGCCAAGAGCCCAGCGTTAGATTTGAAATTCACGGGTCTTTCGGATGAAACATCAGAAACCGATGTCTCTTGTCAAGGTTGGTGTTGGTATGTTCAAGATCCCGCACCGCTATCGCACTTGATCTAAAGCAGGTGACGTTTCTATATGAGTGACAAATTACCAAATGAGGTTTAACAACAATCAATCAATCAATCAATTTGCATGGGGAAAATTCAAAAGGTGGATATGACAGTTAACTAACTAAAATTATAGATACTCCGGTTTAATGCTCCTGCTTATTTTTGTTACGGAGTAAGATTACAAGCCTTTTAAATTTAAAAGTAAGTTCCTAGGAACTATTCAAAACAGCTATCACTTGTGATCCTAACTGATTACTCATCTTTGAGCTCATATTTCAAAAGCCTGGGTACAATCTTTATTTTTATACCCCCCCCCCCGCTTGAAAAGCGAAGAGTATATAGTGATGGCGCGTTCGTCCGTAGGTCCTTCCGTCCGTCCGTAACACTTGGAATACCCTTGTCTTATCCGAAACTCCTCCTATACCACTGAATAAAATTTAATGAGACTTTCACAGAATGTTGATTACATAGTGCAATTCTGCACCGCCTATTTTACACTTCGATCGGACAGATCGAATTGGGGATTCCAACAGCAAAACATGGATACTGCCCTTCTTTCTATAATATTAATAATTTCTATAATATTGACTTTGTATTAATACTCATATGGAAGCGAGGATATCCTTTTGTGGGCACAATACTTCTAGTTTAATTAATGCTAACCTTCAACAGTCTGCTTTATAGCTATTTAGGCCTTTTGCATTGTTCTGAGAAATTTTGAGTTTAAAGAATGTATCAAATATGTTGGAAGCTAAGGCATTGCAGTTCTTTAGGTAAAACAGATCAAAGAAGTGTTATGTTTATCCAAGGGAGAGCACTTTAGTATGTTAATAAAACTGTCTTTTATTGCTTGTTTTTTTAGCTCACCTGAGCCAAAGGCTCAAGTGAGCTTTTCTGATCAAAATTTGTCCGTTGTCTGTCGTCGTTGTTGTCGTTGTCGTCGTTGTCGTTGTTGTTGTAAACTTTTCACATTTTCATCTTCTTCTCAAGAACCACTAGGCCAATTTCAACCAAACTTGCCACAAAGTATCCTTGGGTAAAGGGAATTTAAGTTTGTTCAAATGAAGGGCCACACCTTCTTCCAAGGGGAGATAATTAAGAATTAGTGAAAAATTAATGGCATCATTAAAAAATCTTCTTCTCAAGAACCACTGTGCTTGAAAATATGAAACTTATTTGGAAGCATCCTCAGGTAGTGTAGATTCAAGTTTGTTCAAATCATGACCCCCGGGGGTCGGGTGGGGCCACAATGGGCGATCAAAGTTTTACATAGGAATATATAGGAAAAATCTTCAAAAATCTTCTTCTCAAGAACAGCAAAGCCATGATTGGTCATATTTACGTGGAAGCATCCTCAGGTAGTGTAGATTCAAATTTGTTCAAATCATGACCCCCGGGGGTTGGGTGGGGCCACAATGGGCGATCAAAGTTTTACATAGGAATATATAGGAAAAATCTTTAAAAATCTACTTCTCAAGAACAGCAAAGCCATGATTGGTCATATTTACATGGAAGCATCCTCAGATAGTGTAGATTCAAGTTTGTTCAAATCATGACCCCTGGGGGTTGGGTGGGGCCACAATGGGCGATCAAAGTTTTACATAGGAATACATAGGTTAAATCTTTAAAAATCTTCTACTCAAGAACAGCAAAGCCATGATTGGTCATAGTTAAATAGAAGCATCCTCAGATAATGTAGATTCAAATTTGTTCAATTCATGACCCCCCCCCCCCCGAACCACTTTTTTATTTAAACTTTTCAACCTTTCAAAACTGAACTGATTTCTGCTTTTTCCTAGCCATAGTGCTCAGGTGAGCGATGTGGCCCCTGGGCCTCTTGTTATCAATGTAATGCAGATATACACAAATCACCAACACATACATGTAACGTGATATTTTTTATCTCAGCGAAACAAAAAATATATCCAACAGAGCTTTGTACTGGCAAAATAAGGATATTTAAATCATTAATCCTGCCATTGCCATCGACGAAAAGTATATTAATATGTGTGTAACATGTATGTTTAAAAAGTAAAACATGATGTAAAAGGTGAAATTAAATATGAAGATAATGAACAATAAACAAGCTCAAAAGTCCATTGGAACAATACAAATTTGGAGCAGAGCAAACACAGATCTCTAAAAAAAAAATCAGAGATGGGATCAGGTGCCATGAAAGAGTAAGCATAATCTGTCGGCCGGTCACACCCGCCTTGTGAAAATAAAGAACAGTGATCAATATCAAACTTATGCTTACAGATATTAAAATTATACAAACATATATTAAATTTGTTCATATGTAAATGATGCAGGGACTTAACAATTTAGGTATTAGACATTTCCAAGTGTAAAAAAAATTTTCAACTTGATAAAATAATGAGATTAAAATTTTAAAATCTGCAAGAATCAATTTAAATAGCAGTATTTTGAACATGATTAAAATATTTTAAGATATAAAGCGCATACTTTACAGAATTATTTATATTCAAATGCAAGTGAAGCATATGTAACAAATCAACTTTAAAATAGGCTTGAGATCTCCTTCTTAGTTTATTTTTTTCTTTACTTTTAAGTTTCGCAAATTCCTTCACTTGAAGAATTTTCGCACACTCATTTGACTCGCAGCATTTTCATAGTAAAATGTTTCATTCATAAAACTTTGATGACCATCACTGTTATCGGCTATAAGTATTTTACTGACACAATATCCATGGATGGAAGGTATTAGTTCATTGCAAAGTGTTAAGGCACATAAATTTTTATTTCATCCGAAAAGATTCCTTTATCTATTCTCTTAATGAACATCAGTGTCATGATTGTTTTCGTTTGAGAGGAAATCATCCGAAGTTTCGTCCATCGGTAAATGATTAAAGTCACTGTACGGGTTGTCATGTCTCATAGTTTTTAACTTGTAATACTCGTTTGACGAATGGTCACTATGTTCTATCAAAGATGATTCATTAATATCCATATTTTCAGGATTTGTGGAGTTCGTAGCATTAATAGGTGTTAAATAATCGGTTTCATCCAATTCAACAATTTCCTGATACACTTCAGCTTCGTCTTCAGACTTTCCTATTGTATCAGTTATGTAATTATAGTGTGAACGACCGGGATCTTCGTTTTCCTCTAGGTGTGTTTGACTTTGCAATACAGATGAATGGATTTGAGACATTCTTTTAATGGTTTTCCGACGGTTACAAATACACGCAATGCTGAACAGGCAAAATATAAGCAACAATGATCCGCCAGCAGAGCCTAGAATGCTTATTTTAACACCATCATCTTCTTTTTATACATTGAAAAAAGTAGAAATAGATTATGATTACCTTTCTTTTCACTGAAATGGATGAATTTACAAAAGATTTTCATTTTAAAAAAGCTATCAAGTATGACAAATCTTAAATGCACAGTTGAATACCTGAAGGGCACTGACTAAATGTGCATGACTGGGTTTCTTGTTCCATTGCTGATCCATTACATGTCTCTGTTTCGTTCCCAATTTTGGACGTAATGCATGTTCTTATTTTCACACGTCGCTGTGTCCCTCCACCGCATGTTACGCTACACTGGCTCCAGTCCTGAAACTCTTGAAAGAACGTCCAAGTACCATGAACTAAAATTGTTAAAAAGTTTATTAAGGTCATTTTTTTTTTCTATTTTTTAATCTAGTTGTGATTTTTCCTAACTGCTCATAAACGGGATTTTTTAAAATAAGAAATTACCTTTCCAGATACATGTATTATGAAACAAAACTTTAAAAAATCTGATGCTTTTAATAGGAAAAGCACACTGAGAAACAGTGATTATCCTATTAGTGAAAGTCGATTAAGCATAGAGAGGTAGGGTGTGAAGTGAAATTAAAGCTAAGAAATCTAGAACAAACTAAAAAAAAAAAAAAACCAATTTGCTGTAAAATTATTAATTTAATGTCGGTTGCAAACGTTATCATATTCCTCTTTTGCTCTCCCTCGAGGGAGAATCAATGTAAATTATCCCAACAAAACCAACACCGCTATTTTGCAGTTCCCAACCGACAACCCTTTTTTATGAATCATCCAACATATTAAACAAATGTATCACTCGATAATCCTATGGTTTTATTAGTGCACGACCAAGGAGTTCAACCTGGACATTCCTGCTCGTTGCACTGTTGCATCTCTCTATCAATGGATGGTCCCTCACAAAATCTCCCTTTCTCTGATGGTGGTGGATCGGTGCATGTTCTGTACCGAGTCCTGTTTTTATGGCCTCCTCCACAAGTTTGATTACAACTGCTCCATTCTCCAAAAGGACCAAAAGAACTCCAAAAGCCATCAACTGCTTATGGAATATATCATTACTTTTGTAGGGAATTTTCATGGAATTAATTTCTTAAACTTCAATTTGAGAATTATTTTCGTTTAACTTTTTTGGTAAACATCAAGACTGCAAAGTGTTTTTAAAGACACGAAGAAAGAAGAATTCAATTCAATTTTTACCTCCTTACTTACCCGTACAGTTTTCATTCAAACAGGAACTAAATTCGAAAGAAATTAGTAACTAAGGAAAAAATTCCAACAGATTGTATATTACGCAAAGCAACTGTATGGTATAGGGGCTTTTTTAGTACAAGAATATGGCTGAGAAATTGCGACTCGGCATTAAGCAATAATTAATCAATCAATCAATCAAATACAAGCATACATCTAAAAATAAATGTGTTAATACCATAAGTACATTAATAAACTTACATGTGTGTTGCTTCTAATTCACAATCAAAGAAATTGATTGTGTCAAATAATATAGGGCTTTCTTCAAACATTATAGACAGTTTCATACTAAGGCAACCTAGAAATAATGTAAAAAATATGTCCTAGAAATAACATAATATCACGAATAGGAAATCACTTGATGATGTTCAAAAATCTCAGAAGAGGACATGTCTTTTAGATATTGAATTATGTGGAATAAGAATCAAAATTACACTAGTTTTCTGAAACAAAACATTCATGTACCATATTTAAATCTAGAGACATTTCTAACATAGCATACCCGGAAATGATGGTAAAGCTTTCAGCTGTGGCAGGATGCACTGTACCGTACCATTACCAAGCTTCTTGAAGTTCGTCGTTATCTCTCTTCCATACCCACTATATCGACATGTATAATTTCCTTCCAGCTTGGACAGATTTTCAGTGCCAAAAACAATCTAATTAAAGGACATTTATTGAAAACATATAACGTTAACAATTTTGAAATATGTTTAATTATTATTATTAATCATCAACTTTGATCTGGAATAGCAAATTCCGTAAGCAAACATAATAAGCAATTAAGTTATTGTTATTAATTATACATAAGGTCGAAGTACAAATTATGGTCTATAATCCCTAGGTATCCTAAAAACAAGTCACGGATCTTTTTAAAATATGAAATAAGATGTTAATTTTCCCAGTCAATTACTTGCAAAAATGGTATTTTGAAAACCAAAAAATTAACATACATTGTTTGCAGTAGTTACAAATTGAATCCATTAAATTTTTACGATATATTTCTTCGCAATAAAATCAGATAAAAAAAACATGTATAGACCCTGCGCAAAACTGAAGATTTTATTTACTTTTAAGCACTTGTTCATAATAATACCTTCATGTAAATTTCTAGTGCAAGAGTTCCTATCCGGTTGTGTTTCATAGCATTAAGAAGATTTTTCTTCCAAGATATGAAGGTGATTAATTTTTTTCCCCCATTATAATCGGTCAAGATATTTTATAACTAATCCATTGATACACATTTTTTCATCCAAATTTTAGAATTTATTATTATAACAATATGGAACTATATTCTTTATAGGAGAAGCAAAAATAGTTATGTACATTTAAGTAAATGCGTGTACTCTTCTGAACATATTTTCCTCTAGAGATCACTTACAATTGCTGAATTGTTGTCACGAGTTTTCGTCATATATGTAATTCTCGGACATTGTGAGGTGGATGATATAGTTTCTGAACTGTTATCTACTGCAGCACACCTATAAGATAATTCAATGTTTTACTCTTTCTTGGTAAACTGTATTTTGTTGAAAGAATGTTTGTTCTTTATTTGCCTTTAAGATTGAAGTTTTTTGTGTACTAAAAGTATACTCTTTGCTTTCAAATTTATTTGAAAGGCAAACTTTTGCAGAGGACATGAATGTTTGTACGACACCACATTGCCAAACATTTTAAGCACAGATTAAAAGATAACATAAATCTTGTAAAGCTCTACGCAAGAACATTTGGGACATGCAATTGTTTCTTCTTATGTTAGAAACATCATGTTGTTTGCACAACTTTTGTCGTAATTATCTCGTTTGCACGACTTAACTGTATTGCACAACGTATTGTTTCGTTCACATGAGTTCACACGACGGGTACTGTCTTGTATGCTCGAAGTGCTGTGTATTATTTCGCTTGCAGGAGATGTTCTTATCTCTTTTGTACGATTTATTATTTTTTGAACGGATTTTTTTCTTGTTAGCACTAGATATTATGTAGTTTGCAAGACATATTATCTCTCATACGCACAACAATTTTCTCATTTTCTTATAGTTTTCTGAACTTTTTAATCTTTGCGGTCAATATCTAATTAATTATATAAGAACTGTAACTCTCATATGAAATTTCCTTGTGTAATTGAAATGCAAATCAATCGCAAAACTAAGTGATGAAGATGGTTTCATTTTTTTTAAGCATTCAAACTGCTAGCGACTTTCAATGTTCAATGGTGGAGTTTTTGATTGCATTTAATACTGATCATTCATAGTGTGAACCATACTTTCTGAAATGACTAATACCTTGTACCATTGAATGGGGTCGTAAAGGGTTTTTTAAAGAATATTTTCAAAAGCATATAAGGAAGGGGGCAAGGGGGTCCAAATACGAGAGTGTTAGCCATTTTAAACAGAAACTATGGTCGATGTTCTCAACAATGACTTTTTTGTTTGCAGATATCCTTTCCGTGCCCGAGTTTTGAAGGGTGAAAGTTTAAAAATAGCAATTTCCTTTCGTAAATGCTACATTATACTTTCAGATATTACCACACAGTACAATCTTGTTTTATCCATACCAGCAAACTACCGAAAATAACAAATTAAATGTTATTTATGGTAGGTGGTATTTACTTCTGAAAGTAATGTTCGCGATGCAGCTTCAAAGGATTTCATTAATAGCGTCTTTCTAATGACATTTAAGAGTAGTAATACAACTTTCAGAATTAACATATTTATTACTTTTTCCCTTTTGTCCTCTACTATCTGTCTCCATTATCAAATATGATAAAACTCGGGCACGGAAAGGATATCTACAAACAACAAATTAAGTCATTTCAGAAGGGAGTTCTAAAGATCCGATCTTATTGATAAAATCAGTAGTGTCCTTGATGTAGGTTGATTGTTTTTTATGATGGTAATAAGAAAGTAGTCACCATATGCCCCATTTTTTTTTTACACCTAAATCAAGGACATTACTGATTTATCAATAAGATCGATTCTTTAGAACTCCCTTCTGATGCCGAAGAAAACATTTTACAGGATTTCAAGGGGCATCTTTTAAAGAGAGGCTATTCTAATGAAGAAATTAACCCAATAGTTGAAGAAACAACACAAAGAGAAAGACAACTCTTTTTAAAAAAAAAATAGAGAAAAAACAAATCTTAGCCATCCACAAGTCATGGTTTCATAGTTTGACTCCCGCGTCAAAGGATTGAAAAACGCATTATAAAGTATTGGAATATATTAAAAACAGACCCAACATGCAAGAACTTATTCATATAGGAACCTATCATAGCACATAGTAAGCATAAAAATATAAGCGATCCGTTGATAAAATCCAGTTTACAATAAGTATGGAATCTCTAAAATGGGACCCTGATGAGGCATATTTTGTCGACGAAACACTCCACAGCTACCATTATAACTATCATTGTGATCAAAATAATATAATCTTAATTCAATTAAAGTGTTTAGATTGTCGGGTCCTAATAACTTATTATCAAGTCTGGTTGACTGATGCCGTTTATTGATAACCAATAAGTAAATAAATATACGGAAAATTATCTCGTGGAATCGGAAAATGATTCATGTAAACTAGATAAAATCTCATGTGAACGACGCGCGTCATGCGAACGATATCGTATTCTGCAACAGAGGAGAGAGAAGAAAATACGTGTATACCCCATAAAAGCCAATTAAGCTTGTCTGTAAGAAAAAGGCTTATGTAATTTCCTTTCCAAAAATAAATTTGATTATTGCAAATGTCATTATTTTGATACATTGAGAACATGAGTGAGTTATGACGCAATGCCCCAGCAAGTACGCAAGTGCTTTCACATCACTTCCCCCACAGTTATATAGGATTTGGAATAGAAATCACATGGCTTGCTGGAAAAATTCATACCCAATCATAAAACGGGAGAGGACGTTTTAAAAAAAAATTCAGGCAGAAATTAGCGTTTTTAACGTTGAAATTCGGAAACTGTAACTATTTTCATGTACATTTAAATCCAGCTTTTGTAAATGCTGGAAATTCATAAGTTTTCTGGATCTTAGTCCTAGGATCCCACAAAGGCTTCTCCCTGATCTCAATGGGGTCATCAAGGTCGCCCGGAAACCCCTTTTAATATGCTTTCACATCATGCACTTTCTAGGCAGCCAACTGATTAGGGTATGGTTGATACCTACTTGCCGAATTATATTCACCTAAATGACCTTTAAAACAGTGTTACCATGGGAATACAATTACACTAGAAAAACAAAAGTTGGAAGAAGTAGGGAGATGAAATTAAATGCTTTCTGTTAGAGCGAGCTCGTAACTATATAATAAGGATCATGAGTAGAATATATAAATACATGTATATTATTTACTTTTTTTACATTCCATGATTGGCGAAAATAGAAAAAATAAAAACAAAATATGACAAATTAAGACAAATAAAAGATCAATATCAAACAAATGATTTTCTTACTTGTATGACTCTGAGTTCCATTTACAATATTGGTCAGCCACACACTTTTCACAAAGAACTTTATATTCACAATTTTCCACATCCATTTTAATAAGCTGAAGAGAACATTTTTTCTGTCAATGTAATATGTATATGTATATGTCTGGATGCAATCGATTGCCAAGCATGACTTATCAAGAGAAATAATGCATTGCAGAAGAAAGCAAAGTTAACGAAATCATGCTTTTTGACATATTGGTCATACATAAGTTCATTTCAACAAGTAATGATGAGCAATGTCTAAAATATGTTAATCATGATACATGTCTTGATTTTCATCCAGTAACACTTATCACTGAAAATAATTAATAACTTTAACATTAGAAAAAGTATTCGTTTAATATTGCTTTAAACAAAAGTGGATTTAAATCAAATTAAATATTGAGACACCTACAAATTGAGATTAAAAACCACACACATTTTTTGGAGTGAGCACATATAGTGTATCTTGATTGTTACCAACAACTGTAAATTTTAAGATAGGTATTCCAATATCTAAAGCTACTTCGTCATATTCTTTTACAATCGAACTTGTTTGAATCCTGATCTGTAAAAATGAATAAATTTTTTACAAGGTTGTAGGTACTTTTGAAAAGAACACATGACAATGTTTTTTTAATAAGCAAAAAAAAAAAAAAACTTTTGGAGGATTCTACCTTCTTTATTTTCCCTGAGCTAGTTCCGACAAATGCTACACTGTGACCAGTTGATGTGGTGGTTACCATGAGCGAAGAAGCAGTGATATCTAACGAGATAACTCCTGTAGATGAAACAGGTTCTGGGCCATCTATAGGATTGTTAATGTCGTACTCACCACAATAATCATCTCCAATGTTTATTCTCTAGAGAAAAAGAATTCCATATAAATGTAGTAAGTACATGAAAGTTAATGAGAATTCAGTATAATTTTCACCTTGCGACTAGATAAAACCAAATTATAGATTTCACTTTCATTTAGTTAATGATTTTTCTGCATGTTTCAAATAGACTGAATAGTTATTGATTGATCTCAAAAAGGATAAGGTACTTACTGTCAGGAAACAGGGAGAATCAAAAATGCCAAAATGATCCGGTCCAGTTGTCCCAATACCTTGGAAACATTTCTGTGTATTACGAGTAAACACTTGTTTTATGTTATTATTTGGAAAGATACACAAGACAGACTCTTCAATACTGCTTGTAAGATCATCTGGATTACCGTACCTAAACATACCGAACAAAACATCTTCACTTTCCGGTATCCCGAATTCCTTGGCTAAATAACGACCAGGTTTACTCAAATGCGCAGTCTCTATCAAATTATATAATTTTCCACTATATACACAATTTAATGCTGTTTCAGCATATGAAAGAAACTTGTCGTCAAATTGACATACACGTATTATTTTAGACACATACTCCTTTGATGTCACTTGCAACTTTTGAATTGTTATCATATAGCTGAAATTTCCCGATCCAAAGCCATATATGTATCGAATGGGAAATGCATCCCTATACATTTCTTGAACCATTTTGTATGATTTCTCTACTATACCGGGGTTTATGACCTGAAAGTCAGCAGTGTTTCTACTGCTAAATGCAGGTACAAGATCGCGAAATCTCCTCAATCCTGTGTTAGTCTGAGATGCCCCAACATACATAGCTGTGGTATCTTTGGGTCCTGGTGCCAGGAAGGCAACAGTGGTGGCTGTCTTATTATTAGCTACAACTGGGATTATTAACTTTCGATTTGAAACAGGAAGCAGTTCCAATGTTGAGACACTCCTCTTTCTACAGGTCCCTTGAAATAAGCTTGTGCAAATAATAAGCTCGTCATCCTTGGGTTGCCTTTGCTTGTTAATCAGTAGCACTTTAATGTGACTATCGTACATTGATTTTGAACAGTTTTCATTTTTAATGTCGAAACAGTAGGGATTATCTAGTTCTGGCCCAATTTTTCGAGCCAGTTTGATGCTTAAGTTTTTAGCAAATACTAGATAAATAAAGTTTGTTCCACCCACGATAACAGTCTTAGAATCATACGCTAACATGTGAGTGAAATCATACTGCTTATTCGGATTTTGCAATATTTCCGTGATTGGTGATATCGTCTTAAGGGACGAAGAAAAATATCTTTGTAAGGTTAACAATATAACGATAATCATAGACTTCATTTCCGTAGTAGATTTCAAAAACATATTTACCTTGCTGATAACTCCAATGTAATCTACAATTTTCATAGATATATTTCAACCATCACAATATAAAAATCTTTTTTGAACAAAAATGTTATTTCCATATAGCAAGAATATTCCAAACTAGAAATTTTGATATGGCTATTGCCAACAGTAAAATATTAATGCTTCAAGATTTATGTACATGTATATGGAGGCGGATACACATAAAATTTAGTACAGCATTTCACAATAACATTTTACAGCAACTTTTCTACACCCCCCCCCCCCCTAAAAAAATCCCTACATATTGACTAATTGGTTTTATCCATGGCAATAGCAACATATTTTGCTAAACCACTTTGCTATGATGCAAAGAAAGAAACAATCCTTAATAGTTAAAAAAAATATTTCTAGGCAGTTCACTGAGAAAAATGAAATTGAAAAATTATCTTCTTTCATCTTTTTTTTATGGCAAGGGTTGCCATTTTGAAATTTTAATATGTGGTCAGCTCAACTTGGTGATTCTATTTTCATAAAAATTGTCCATGCTGTCAAAGAGAACGCTCGCTAACAAAATGATTAGGGCTAGCAATAAAAATATATCGCCTGTCTTCTTTTGGCTTAACATTATAATTAGGATTAAATATATCCTAAATGACATTTGATATAATAAAAATAGTTCTGGAAATAATTACCTTTAACTTTTCTTTAACATTCCAATAAAGTGTTGTCTTGCAAAAATTTTACTATAATTTTACTCACATTTTTCTTTACTCAACTTGATTCTTTACAGCAAAGCTTAACTTGTAAAAAAAAAAAAGCATCTCATTTTAAAGGAAGATCTACCTAAGAACACGCCCAAGTTTTGTAGGATAGTATTAAGTACTATGTATAACAAGGATGTTCGTAAATTACAAGTGATGTTAACAGAGACTCATTTATATTGCCTTTTTGAAGTTCAGAAAGAGTACTTGTCTTATTGAAAATAATTAACAAAGAACAAACCTAATTCACTACAGTGATAATTTTTATTTTACTCAAGATCATATACGTATATACCACACTGATTGTTCCTGTCCACATTGAATACTGAGATAGTGTTTTCTTGATGTGAAAAAAGCATCTCACGCATTTCTGCATTTAAGATTATCTGATGTAATTTTCATATTTGATCGACTTTTTTTTTTTTATCAAAATATCAAAACTTTACCTTAAATTTCCTTGCCAGTAGTTCTTTTCTTTTTAATATTTGGTAGATTTTTTACAGTACCCGCATCGTTATTCTTTACAGGATACACGATACGATAGGATACACGCACGATACGATAGGATAAACGCACGATACGATAGGATACATGCACGATAGGACAGGATACACACACGATAGGATAAACGCAAAACATGATAAACGCAAAACATGATAAACGCAAAACACGATAAACGCAAAATACGATAAACGCAAAACACGATAGACCCGATAAACGATCTTCACGATAGGATAAACGCAAAACCTGATAGGATTGTTTTAAAATGCGAAACGTTTTTTGACAAGACGAAAAGTTTTCTTTTTGATATACTATAGTATGATAATTTTAATTACTTACAAAGCTGCAAATGGAAATGATAAAACATTTTAAATTTATCATGATAAAACATTTGAAGTAATTATGCTTTGTAAAAGATGTGGTGTTTTTCTCAATAAAATTGATCGTCATCAAATTCAAACTGTAATTATTTTAAGAAAAATTCCACTCTATAATGGAAATAAGCCGATTTTTTGTGTAATTATACAAATTCCTTCGAATCATTAAATTTGAATTTTGAGTCCGTAGACAAGCGAAGTTTTACACCCAAGTGCAATAAATTCATTAAACGCTATAAATATATTCAATATTTTAACAAATAAAACCTTATGGAATTCATAACAAACATTGATTATTTTTACGGAAAAACATGTAAAAAAAAAATGAAATATTTGAATTCAATATCTTTTGCTTGAAGTCTGCGAAGTATCCAAAATCGCCTTTAAAGTTTGTATTTAATAATTCAAATCTTAAAAAAAAATACTAGTCATAATTTTGGGGAGGGGGGAGATTGAAAAGTTATTGTTATAATTATTTTAAGGTTAATGCATTCTCCTCCAAGTTTTTTACGAATTTGATTTATATTTTATATAAATTAATTAATTTTTTTACGTTTTAAAATTACTGAAATTGCTAGTTGCATTGAGACAGACTGTGCACTGGACTGTGAATAATTAATCTCTCCTATATATAAATATATATGTCACACATATCCCGTGCACATAGAAATTATTTACATATTCCAAGTACATTCTAAGTACATACATTGTATATGTCTATATGAGGAAGGAGACCTGCCAAAAAAAAAAAAATCGAATTTAATAAAATTAATAAACGTCACTAGATCTGTCATCATCTATTATCCGAAAAAATATCGCATTTCCATTCTTTTGTATTTATTTTAGTATTTTTATAGGCCTGTAAGATTAAGCTAGAAGGGAGCATGCAGTCGTATAAATAAAAAAAAATGTTACAGTGTACTGCTTATCAAAACATTTCTTTTTAGATCCCACCCCCTCCCCCCGGCCGCCCCCAAAGAAATGGTATTGCTTTCTTAGCGTGCTCGTGTGATGAGCATTTAAAATAACAGAATTTGTATCTACTATAGGTACGTGTAAACTAAGCTTACAATGTATATGAATATATTTATTGGGTACTTAAACTTTGTATTAAATAACATTGAATGGTTACGTACACTTGTTTACAACATATTAGAACACACACAAAAAATAAATAATAAATTAATTTCCACAATTTGACAAGTGGAATTCGGATTGAATAATTGTCAATTATTGCTATTAGACTTTGTAATAATTGTTACAAAACTTATCTTATATAGGACGACATCGGCAAAATTAGACAAAACTTTGTAAATTATGAAAGTCTTAACCCATTTGAGGCACAGTCAGCGGGGAAGGGGGGTCCATAACCCACCCACCCCCCACCCCCCCCCCCCCAAAAAAAAAATCCGATTCAAAAAGCCAAAAAAAAAAAAAAATAAAAAATAAAATAAAATAAAATAAAATAAAATAAAAATAAAATAAAATAAAAATATATATTGACTTCTTCGATATAGTCACGTATTATATGCAATCGATAAACACGAATAAAATTAAATACAAGGTATTTACCAGTCTTGTGTATCACCGCAGAACCGGGCGATTTTTTTTTCATGTATCTTTGAGACGCCTTTACATGTAACAACGACAGACAACACAGAAAACCCTAAGATCCAGAAGTACCGCAAGTGCATTTTTTTTTTATTTGATCACACCAATCATGTTTATGACTGTAAACCTATAAAAATTACATAAAAATATACAAATGAACTAAATCAACGGAGTTTGGAGGACAAACCTCGCCTATATTTTATTTGATTCAATTATTCAATTTTTAATCTGTAACGGAAGTGTAAAGGGGGAGTTTCGATAAGGCCGCTCAGCGGCCCACTTTTTTTTTATAAAAATAAATTTCAATTTATTTTTTCAAAACTAGTTTAGAATTCAAGATAAATATGTTAACTTCTGTTATTTTTATTTCAAAAGTTAATATGAGATGAATTCACACCGTAGCTGATACATACTTAGATGTACCCTCAAATCCGTTAACATTAGGCTTATGGGAAAATATAAGAGGGTGACATTTATAAATCAATGTTTAGAATATGAAGTGCATGAGGGACACAGGCGTAAATTTGTTCAGTAATTAGATATACTCTGCACACTAATTTCTTGAAATATGATGAGTGTCGCGTGTGCACTTCATATCCAAAAATTGAAAATTGCATAAAATTTGCATATCTAAAATTAGAATCTCCTTGTTTCTTGATCTGACTGTGTATTAAAATACCAAGCCAAAAGAAGCATATTTTTTTAAATCAAAGAAGATTCTCGATTTTTTTAACAGTAGAAAACATTATTCTATCCTTTCTTCATTTCAATACTTTTTTGTCGCCAACGTATAACGTTAACGTCACATTTTTAGCTCACCTCCTCGAAGTTGGGGGAGCTTTTGTATTACCGGCGGCATCCGTATTCCAGGTTAAAGTTTTTGAAGCAGATTTTTTTTTCAAGTTTATCTATGCCCTATATTAATCAGAGTCACCTGATCCAGCGTGTTTCCTTGTCACCAGTCAGGTT